GCCCTTCCCTTGAGCGAGCCAACCCGCGTCAGCCTCACAGCTCTTTCGGTTTTCTCCCCCGTGAAGGCAAATCCGCCTGCGCTGACATCAAAGCGGCGTTTACTGTTGTGCTGCCGAACAACCGTGGGTTCCTGCTAAAGGGGGGAGGAAGAGCCCTTGGGCGTCCCAGCCCCTCGAAACAAGGCACCGCGCGTGCACTAGCTCCACCACCGCGAGTCCGAGCAGGGACGAGGCTCCTTCGCTGCTGCGGCAGTGCAGGTGGAAGAGCGCGTCTCCGGTTGGAGGCGTTGGCTTCTCCGCGCCTGGTCAGAGCGGTATAAAAATAACCCGCTTTGTATCCCAGGGATGATTCATTATGCAGCTGAAGGGCTTCCCTGCTTCTATTTTGGATCCCCAGAGAAAGAGCTGGTAATTCATGTGGGAGTTTTTCCTCATTTCTGAACATCATGTGTCAAGTTTGGAAAGTGACTTTGTTTTTTTTATGAGTTGCTTGCCGTGCCTTCAGGACCTGGGCTGCTTTTTTCATCAGGCCTAACAGAGGCGGCGTGCTACGTAGGAGGCGCGCAACCTGTCCTACCTCGTGGGTCCTTAGCTTGTGTTCACCCTCGTTGTCTGTTCTCCTGCATAGAGAAACGCGTAGGTGGCAGGGCGGGCGGTCTCTGTCCAGCTTTGGGGGCACGCTCGGCAGCCTCCAAGGAGCTCCTGCAGCAGCCGCCAAGAGCTGCAAGGCCGAGTCGTGCCAGAGGAACCAGCGTAACCGCAAAGAGGGAGCAGAGCGAGCGTGGCGTCTCCCCGCACCGATCCACCAAGAGCCTTGAACTCGGACACGCCGGAAGAGCCCCTGCATCTCCATGGCCGAAGGAGAAGGACTGGCTCTGCTGGCTGGCGCGGGGACAGGCCAGCAGGTTCTCCAGTAGCAGCCTTTAAATGGGGACACGGCACAAAGTTTGTCAAAACCTGCATGATGCACAGGCCACGTGCAGGCAGCGGGACCCGGTGGGGACCCACAGCCCCCCTCATGCCTGCAGCGTCGTCCGCCTGTATGGGCGCCCCGAGTCCCACAGTTCAGATGTGGCTCACCTGGTCAAAGCAATGACCGGCACCACTGCACCGGGGCTCCCCCAGGGCTGCCAGATGCTTCAAATCTACACGTGTGGCTGATTTCTTCTTCCTCTAGGGAGAAAAGCAGCTGCGTCAAGGTGGGAACCCTGATGGGAAATGGCTTTGGCTTATGTCCCTTTTCCTCTTGCCTCCAACACAGCAGATGAGGCTCCTCTTGTCTCTGTGGTTTCTCTTTGCTGCTGGGTTGAGGCAACTCCTTTCTGCAGGCTTTAATGTGAAAGGTTGCCCTAGTGGGAATGAGCCACGTTCCCATCCCCATTTCAGAAGTTTAAGGACATCCTTGCATGTGTTGCCTCCTGGAAGCGGGGTCTGGCGCGCTCTGTGCGCGGTTGTGCGGTGGGCTGTGGTGCCGTGCTCTGGCCAGGCACAGCCCCAGCTTCCTGCCTTGCTTTTGCATCCTATCACGCACTGAAGTGTTTCAGACTCTGTGAAACCCATGCACTCTTTCAGAAAATAAATATCTTAGGGAGGTGAAGCGCAGCATCGTTTATTCATGGAGATGCCGGTAAGTGGGTGCTTCATTTATTCATGAGCGATTGTGTCCCTGTCCCTCTCTCTATGTGGGCAGGATCCCTGGGTTTCCTGCTGCAGGGGGGCAGGCGGGAGCTCTCGCAGATGGGGTGGGCGCCGCTGGCTCTGCTTGGCTCGCGGCCAGGGCGGCGAGGCCAGGGCAGGGGTTGCAGGAAGCTTTCGAGGTGCGTCTTCCCCCAGCCAGGGAAGTAGAGCAGGCTGGGCCCTGCTGAGGGGTCCCATCGGCTGCGGCTGCTGCTGGAGCGAAGCAGAGCGAACTCGCTGCCTCGTGCGTGGGCTCCCCAGGGCAGTGTCGGACAGAGGTTGCTTGGGGTGGACATCGTTCTTCCAGGTGTCAACGGTGCTGGCTGGCTCCCAGTAGCTAAAGGGGTAAAACCCCTCTGCTGCCAGGGCAGATCGTGAGCCAGAAGCTGCAGGTGGTGGGAGAAGAAGTCAAGGACAGGCTGGAGGAGGAAGGTGTTGGCCTTCATCCTCATCTCCTGGGAACCTGCCTCCTGCCACAACCAGCCACGGACATTGGGCAGCCAAAGTCTGCCGTGCCTAGAGGAGATACAAAGCTCAAACCCTGTGGATGGTCCTGGTGCAGAGCAGCTTTGGGCTGGCTCAGCTTTCAGCTCGCGTGTTTGCTCACTCCCTGCGTTACTCAGGGCAGTCACCATGCAGGCATGCGACAGCCTCTGGGTAAGCACGGGCAACGCTGGACACAGGAGGACACAGGACGCTTTATGGGAGGTGCTTGGGAGGAGAAGGCAGGGAGAGCTCAACCGGTCCCTGCAGTGGTGAACCTCAGTTGTCAAGTTGGCAATGATTTTGCAGTCCCTTTCGCAAAAAAGCATTGACTTCCAGCAACCAGCGGGGAGAGGACTTGGGTTCTTGTGATCTCGAAACCTGCTGGGGTGGCGCACCGGTTAGGACTTCTGGCAACACATCCCGACGAGAGCGGCTGTTGACCGCACTCCTGGAAGGACTTGGGAGGACCGGCCTCTTCTGTAACCAGCAGAAGTTTTGCTCTGGACTTCAGTGTGGTTGGGACTTTACCTTGGGGCTTTACAGTTGCTTCTTCCCAGGCCGAAACTTGGGCTGAACTTGCAGAGTCCCCGATCGGGACAGAGCACACGTTTCGGCAACAAGGGAGTGCAGAAAACCCCACTGGGTTTATTTAGACCAGTCAAAGGAAGCTGTGCCAGTTTAGGCTTTCCAGTCATTGCTGTCTGAGCCTGAGCTTCGGTTTAATCAGCGGCAGAGCCCTGCGGTCACGCAGGCCCCTGTCGTACGGCTCCCTCCCAGCACTGCCCCAGCAGCAGAGCCCACGGAGAGCCCCGAGCAGCAGGGATGCAGCTGGCAGCAGCTCCTCCTGCATCCCTGCCTCCTCTTCTCGTGGTGATGGCCACCGAGGAGGTGGATGGAGGAGCGTTACGGCCAGAAACAGTGGAAGGGGAACAGCTTTTGGACGTCAGTCTGGCTATCAGGCCTCAGCTGAGGCTCTGCTACTGTTTCGTTCTCATGATGGCCACGTTTGGCAGCTCCGGTTCTTGGACACAAGGGGTTTTCTGCTGCCCTCTGGGAGGAAGGGCCCTGTGTAGGGTGCATGTGCTTCCCCGGAGCCCGGAGCGTCACCACCTTCTGCTCCAGGTCCCAGGTGCACTTTTTCCACCTCTCTTCCCTCGCATATAGCGGAAGCAGCAGGGAGATTGTAAAAATAACTGTGACACATCCTGGCAATCAGTCAGGGCTCTGCTGGCAGATGGTTGTCCCTGGGGGTGGAGGAGAGCAAGCAAACTACACGTGCCACAGCTTAGTCACGTTGGCTTAGGGAAGTGTCTCAGTTTTGAGAGCTAGGTTAAGAGAAGCCGAGCTCAGCAAAATCTGTCGGCCTCAAGAGATCCTTGTGAAGGAAGAGGCAGCACGGACAGAAGCCAGCCAGCCTGTGATTTTGCATCCAAATGAAGTTGTTGCATGCCCCTTTTTGTGGCTAAAATCCTAGGGTACATCCCAGAGGTATGGACGGAATCCCATTGTGCCAAAAATTAATTGCAAGGCTAGTCCGAGCCATGCAGAATGACAGCGGCCCTGCGTGCACAGAGGGAGCGGTGTGAAACTCTGCGGGGCACAGCTTCGTCTAGTGCCCAGGAGCTCATCGGCTGGTGCTGGGCGCACGCAGTCCCCAGACTGCAGGCTACTGCTCTCGTGCTAGCAGGGCATAGACGAAGCGGGTCACAAGTACTCTGCGTGTGCCAGGAGTCCTTGCCCTGTCCTCCTCCACGCCGGAAGCCTTGCTGCAGGTGAGGCATGTTCCCCACATGCCGGACAGGATAGGAGATGGCTCCTCAAATTCTGCCTGGAGAAGGTACTGCTCCCCAGCCGGGATGTGGCTGGCAGCGGGCACTCGCAGACCTGTACAGTCCTTCTGGATGAGGTAGTTTTGTACCAGTTAGGCAAGGCTGCAGGTTAGCAGCACACCTAAATCTATCTCCCACTAGAGCTGCCTTTTCTGGGGATGGCCCCAGCCCAGCTCTGATTTTTGCAGCTGAATTTCTACATGCAGGCCCATGCAAACACAGTCCACCAGAAGGCCAAGCGTAGAGCCGGTGGGACGCCTCATGGCCGTGCGGGCTGTTGCTTTGCAGCGATACCTGTCCTGGGCTTGTGCATGGGAGTATGTGGGCAGGGGGATCACACCAAAATCAGGAGGGCTCCGGGTGATAACCGCTGCTGCTGCTTACGTGGCTGGAAAGTGGGTTTATGTGCAAAGCCCCGCATCCCAAACGGGGTGGGAGCGGGGTTAAGTTGCAAAAGAGTTTCTTGAAAACGCATCCTTTGGAGCAGTAATGCAGCTTTCCTGCCCAGGCCCCTCAGGACAAGGGAGCGGGGCTGTAAAACGGTTGGCTTTGAAGCCGCTGTGGTCCTGGCACCCACAGCTGCAGCAGGAGCCTGTTCCTCTCTAGTGCATCACAGCCGCATTCAGCAAAGCGTGTTTTCCGCTTGTGGGAGATCTTTGAGGCCAGCCTAGGATAAAGATGTGCATGTGGCTACTAGTCCTCTCTGCATGTGCAGGCTCCAACTTACGTGTGCCAGGCAGGGACGGGGCCGGCCGAGCCCGCAGTAAAGGAGGGACTCCTCTTCCTCGCCCGCCTGAACTCCTGCAGCAACCGGCTTGGGGCAGGAAGGGGGGCTTTCAGGTCTGCTCAGGGTATGGACCAGCACAGTAGGTGTGATCCCTTTGTGCTGGGGCCGAAACTGTGCCCTCGCCACAGCTGGCGGCCGGCGAGAGGCAGTGCGATCCGAGTCGCGCGCTGGGAGCCGGCTGCCTGTCACTATGGACACGGAGGAGCTGGCGTCAAGCTGCGAGCCCTTGGCAGG